TGTGTGTGTGTGTGTGTGTGTGTGTGTGTGTGTGTGTGTGTGTGTGTGTGTTTACACACCACAACTTCTTTATCCAGTCATCTGCTGATGGACATTTAGTTTGCTCCCATGTCTTGGCTATTGTAAACAGTGCTGCTATGAACACGGGGGTGCATGTACATTTTTAAGTTAGCGTTTTCCCCAGATATATGCCCAGGAGTGGGATTGCTGGATCATATGGTAAGTCTATTTTTAGTTCTTTAAGGAATCTCTATACTGTTTTCCACAGTGACTTCACCAAATTACATTCCTCCCAACAGTGTAGGAGGGTTCCCTTTTCCCCACACCCTCTCCAGCATTCACTGTTTGTGGACTTTTGAGTGACGGCCACCCTGACTGCTGTGAGGTGATACCTCACTGTAGTTCTGATTCGCGTTTCTCTGATAATGAGCGATACTGAGCATCTTTTCCCGCGCGATGGCCCAGCTTTTCAAGTGTCTTCCCTCTTCTTCTTGCCAGAGATCGCGCCCTGACAGAAAGGAAGGTCTGAGGAAACCGGGTAACGTCATTCTATAAATGGATGGCAGGAGTAGCCTTGCTTGACTTTGCAGAGTACTTGCATGCCTGTTACCTGGTTTTACCATCACAGCAATTCTGTGAGGTGAACCTGGCACACGTGACCACCCCAGGAAGACAGAGGCCCTGGTACCCACTGGCACAGGCCCAGCCTACAGCAGTGTTCTGATCCCAGCTCCTAACCTGGGGCCTTTCCCCCCAGACCGCAATGCTCAGAAGCCCGCAACAGAGCTGGTGGGATGCAGAGAAGCAGGTGGCTAGTTGCGGGGTCAGGTGGTCTGTGAGCAGCCCGGCTGAGACTCTGAGCTTTGGGCTGGCATGGGGGCCGTCTGGCCCGGAACTCTGAGTCTCCTCCCACCCACACTCCTGTTCTCAGGCCTTTACGTGCCTCTGCCGGATACAGGATCCACCCCCACCCTGTCTCTGTGCCTTGCCCGCTGCCTCCACAGAGGCCTCAGCCAGCCAGAGGCAGGAGCTGAGGGCGGTGGGGCCGGCAGGTGGGCACACAAGGCCCCTTAGAGACACCAACCCATTGCGATCAGGATGTGGATGTGTTGAGACCACAGTAAAAGGCTGGAGAGCTGCCGCACTGCTATCAGATAAATGCAGGTGGGGAGGGGGGGATTACACACGCGAGTCAGCAGCGCCCAGATCACAACTAAACCAAGCCACCCACTGCCACCACCTTCCAAATCCCATGAGAAACCACGTGGGCCCCGGGCCAGCCTCTTCTGTGACATAGCCTATGGGCCACATTCTAGGGGCTTGAAGACAGCGGACGGGGTAGAGTGTGTGCAGCTTCTGATCCCAATCACACCCAGTCCCCTCCACAGAACTGTTTCTCAATCACAGTTTTGTTTGCTGGCTTTCCCTTTACCCCCTTGCCAAACACAACAAACGATTTCTCAATCACAAGCGCGCACACTGCCCTCATCCATGACACCGTGCACCCCGCCCCCACACTATCTGGTTCCTGGCCCAGGCTGATCCAACCCAATTGAGAAACAGTAACAGTACAGAACATTTTAACTGAACATTCTCAGCTCTAAATATATTTCACAATGCTGGGCCCTGGGACATGTCCTAATAGCATTCCGGGCAAGGCACGTTTTAAAATATGGATCCAGGATTGTGTTTGTGTGTGTGTGTGCACACACAACCGCTGAGTGTACCTATCACTCGCCTGGGCAGGACAGATGTCTGCTGTCCTGAGAGCTGTTCCACGGAGCAGCCGAAGCTCTATTCATGAGTGATTCCACAAGTGAACCCCGTGCACACGTTCATGGTCAGATCAGGTGGATGGCAGCGTATCGGTTCCAGTCTTACTGATTTCCATCCTTTTCTTCACTTGGGATTTTGTAGCTTCCGGGTGCCCACCTCTCAGGGGGTGGCAGTCAGGAAGAAGAGGAGGGCACACCCCCACTGAGATCTGTTTTCCCAAAGGACTCCGGAGCAACCGACCAGTCCTTAGGTGTCAGCAGCCACCACCAGGATAAGCACCCCCACACCCATCCTCGGACTCCCGTCTCTCCCCCTACAGGTTCCAGAGCAAATGAACACTTCCTGCCCTTTTTCTGGTGCGAACGGGTTTGCCTGGCAGCTGACGCCAGTGGCTTTCTTGACCGACTGGATGGCGTGGTGTGTCAGGCGCCATCCTTGCTCTTACCTGCTGCAGAGGTGGGGGCGCAGGGAAGGATGCCAGCAGCCAGATGACCTGACTGATGATATTGGTCCTAACCTGGCCATTAGCTTGCTTTGTAACTGGCCAGATCACACGACCACGCCCTCTCTGCATTTTTTCACCTGTAAAGTGACGGCGTTATATCTAAGATTTTGTTATCTCATGGAGCCAAAATTTTATTCTTCAAAATCTTACCCGTCCTTCTAGCTAGCCTCCAAGGAATTCATCTGAGGGGCACCATTATTCTCTCCGAGCCACATTCCTCCAGTGTGATGTCTCACGATGCCTAGGCAGTCAGGCTAGGACAGCCCACGCCAAAAAAACTGACACCCATTCCCCGAAATCTATTCATTTCAAAACCTTCCAGTTCGGATGATCTGAGCTCCCACCTTCACTCACTTGCAGTTTATATTTCAGTGGAAGAAACTTCCAGAGCTCAAGACCAGCTTTTCTTTGGAACCATTCTGCTGCCACGCATGTCCCAGCCTTCAGAGACATGGGTGTCCTCTCCTGCCCCACCTTTGCGGTAGGAACACTGCCCTGCACTGACCCACTGACTCAGTGTCACGTCCAGGTTCCCAGAGGCGAGTATGGCGTCCCAGTGATCCCACGTGTAGTTTGAGGACAAAGGTCCCGCCTCCCTGAAGGAGAAACCAGGGCAAAGCACACAATGTCCAGAAGAGAAAAAGGGAACAGCTCGCAGGCCTGGAGTTCAGCTGAGCCCAGCGCCCGTTCACCCGTCTCTTCATTATTGTTCAGACACCCCGGGACGGGTGTGAAGAGGTGGACGCTTCTAACTCAAAGGAAAGCGAACTGGCAGAGGGGAATCTGATTGCATTCGAGGGCCACCGGCAGACTCTTTACGGCACTGTCTGCACAACGGCCAACATGGAAATAGAATTCCCAACTGGCTCTGGAGTGAAAAGTACAAATTGGAGGAACTCAGGGTGTGTCACTCTAGACCACAATCCCCGCTCCTCCGCCACCACGGTAGGTCACTGCAAAGCATTTTGATTAAAATGGAAATTCTGTCCACCTCCTCCTTCCTTACACACACACTCATGTTTTCCCAGTCTGGCCCAGCCTTTTCATAAGGTCAGACTGCTCATGGCCATCTGAGGTCATCAGCCTCCCCTGCAATACAGGAAAGGACAGCTGGGGACATCTTTGCACCTTTCTGCATATACTG